TCACTGTGTATTTGGATAATTAAAAGCAATTCGATATTCAATTCTACCGTCACCAGAAATATGAAAATGAAGAGCCCAACACCACAGAGCAACTGCTATGTCAACATAACACTATGACATATATCAAACAAGTGTTCAGATGTCACGCGCTTTTTTTTCGACGGGAAGACTAAACGACAAAAAACCATCGCTTTTATGTTTTCGAATTTCGTCGCAAAAATTTAACGATTTTAACGAAAATTATGACTTTAAACGGATTCCGACTTTTCCGGCGAAGCATTTCATATGAATTAGACAATAAAAAGACGAAAGTGGTGCAAAAGAAAAAATTTTTTTAATTTTACTGCAAAGCTTTACTGTCTGTCGTGACATTATCCCATACTCATTCAAGGACTCTGAAGAAAAGGGATGATTTTCTGTTGAAAGTTCTTTTCCGGAAGCCAGTGAGATGAGTCAACTCTGATTGTAAACTGATTTCAGCAATACAATATAAATTTCCACTAAAGTAAACAAGCAAATACTTTTTCTTTAAATTTGCACAATCCAACAGAATAACCCAATTCTGACCAAAAATTAATTCCCAACCAGTTTCTAGTAAAAGACTACACTATCTCACATCACACCACTTTACTTCTCTCTCCATTTACCGTCTCTTATTGAGAATGTGTCGAAACAGAAAAGAAATTAAATTGAATTGAGGGACTTCAAGAATGATAGCATTAGTTGTTGGTGATTTGGAAACAGTGGAAGTTTTATCCTAAAAGGGAACACATTCGGCAACAAAAGAGTTTCATGGAATTGGAACGGTACACGAGGAATGTAACGACCGAAAACGACAGGAAGTATAGCGCAGCAAGCACCTCACAGTACAACAGAAAATGGCACAGTGTTCTCAGCTGGGCAATACAAAGCTAACACTACCACTATCGATTTGCATCCCAATTTGAAATCTGGGAAGCAAGCAATTACGGGCAGAGTTCGGGCTATTCCCTCTTCCTTCTTGTCAACCTCTTTCATTCATACCAAATCCCAAAAAGAGCCTCCACATCCTCTGTGTTTCTGCAGAAAGTGGTTGGCTGCTTCCTTATAACGATTTTAGCTAAGTTATTCTGTCCCTCTACTCCCATCACATTTCGCTTTCCATTTATACATACACATACGTGCATGCACAGCCGTATCCGCACTTGCCCGCACCGACACGTATACCTACACACATACACACACGAACGCAAACATAGACACACATGGGAGACATACACACACGAACACACAGAAGGGAAGAGCGCATATAGACATCACGTCACATATGTGCAGTGAAGTACGACGAGAGAAGCATTCTAATGAGGGGAGGTGGACGGGTAGGAATGAGGGGAGGTGGACGGGTAGCTTTGAGAGGGCGCTGAGAGCGTTTGACGCCGAATCGAAATGAAATCGACAGAGAAAGCTCGCTGCCAAGAAAGGCAAACTGAGCCTTTTAGAAGAAAACTTGGAAGGAAGACCAACAGTGAATTTTTTGAAAATTTTCATAAGCAGAAACCGACTTGAGCTAAAATCTAACCGGAAGGGTAGAATCGTGCACTTCCCGAGATGAGATAAGCATTCAAGATGACGAAGTGCAATTCTCGAACACTTCGTCATGAGTCATTGTCTAAACTCATGATGAGAGATAAACCTATGTGATAGAATATCCATTATTTTCGTTATTATTTTTACTTTCATTTCAGAAGCACAAATTGAAATAAAAGCTATGCATATAACTTGCCAACTATGCTTACTGTAACTGATACTAAATGCCTTCGAATATATCCCAGCAACTTCAGACATCAATAAGAAGAGATGAGATACTGAAATCACCTACATGCTTTTCCTTCTTTTACCCGAAAGATCTAATTGCCTATGGAACGGGTAAAAAAAGACCATGGAAGCATAAGTAACTCTTACTTGTTTTGTCTTTGTGTATCAGAAGCAATGCCGTTTTATCACTGCATCTCTAAACCCATTATTTTCTCATTATTGTTGCTATACGTCGACAGTTTTATCCATGCAACTTTCTTCTTAACCAAAAAACTTGAAATCATGATATGTAGTCATTTGATCGCAACATAAAGAGTCAATTAATTATTTACTGTTTTGTGTAAGCATTATTATATCTCTCATAATGGAAGTCTCTCTATATATTCAGTTCTGATATTAGGTTATGCCTAGATTAAATGCTATTAATTATCATATCTGTCATGGATAAATCATTTACCTTTTCTCTTAAAAGCAACTAATGAACAGGATGATATCCAAATTATGAAAATATGTGACATTTTGTTGAACGATCAAAAGATAAGCGATTTTAATAAAAATGGTAGAAATTTATAGACAACCTAATATATGGGAATGTTTTAATAACTGCATCATTTAAATGATTTAATTATTGTTAACGACAGATATAGCAGCTAATAATGTACTACTGTTTTCTTTTATCGACCATTTTTAATTGTTATGAAGCCATTAATTTGCTAGTGGACATATATACTTTGTTAACAAACAGTCTAATAACAATAAAACAATTACGAACAAGTAACAAACCTTAAGTGCACTGCCATCGGCATTCATATTGCTGTTATTCTCCCGCTGATATTTTCTTAATCGTTCTCGAAGGTCCAAATTCAAGTTCTGAATATCAACTTGAAAGAAGTGAAAGTCAGGGAAATGATCGTCGGTCCTGGTTAACAGTTATGTAAGAGCCAAAGAAGAGCAGTCAATAGAATCTAAAAAACCGATACTAATATGATAATCTGTAAAGACAGCTGTTCTTAACTAAGCAGTCAAACAGATAGCAATAAAGATTAAGAGTAAAGGATAGGATCTGGTAAGATATGTGTGTAGTGTGTTAAAGATTGTTTTAAGGGTTTCCAATGACTTGAATGGATTTTGGGCAAAGTAAACTTGTTATTGCAGTGATCATAAGAAAGTGTGTTTGTGAGGAGCAACTGTGATGGGAGAAATGAAGAAATCAAGGTAGAGAGAAAGAAGGAGGAAGGGAAAAGGGACGTAAACAGAAAAGTATAACCAATACACGTGCACATATTATCAGTGTTATCATTTGCAACATAGTTGATATATATATTTCCCTTGAACGAGGAATCCTTAGTAAATGTGAGTCATCAGCTCATGTTGATTACTCTCTGCCCTTTGTAAATATCGCTCGTCGCTGTTCGGGACTGAGCTGTTCCAGGAAAAGCGGAAACAATAGTTTCCGGGATTTCCTAGGATTTTTTTTTCCTGGAATTCTTTGATGGTAACTAACAGATAGATTAATATGGTAGCAAATAGTAATAATGATGATAATTGTATAAAGTAATATATATGCAAAATCCAATGTGTATTGATGATATTACATGGAAAAAAGACGAGTGCCTTGTTGACCTCAAACTCAATAGAAATTTACCAAAGTAGAAAACCGCTGACCTTCTGCATTTGAAACAAGCATTATCACTAAGCTGTCGAAGCACTAAGCAAATCTTTCATGTTTTTTCATATGACTGATGCGTATAATAACATATACAAACATTTAATTTGAACTGTATGTAGTGTGTTGAAAAAGTGAAAGGTTATTACTGAAACAGCTTTAAATTCCGATATTTCTTCCTTTCAGATGCTTGATATCATTTCTCTGCGTATTCATATTACATCGGTAGAAAGAAATTCATGCAGGACACTGAACTCAGCAGAATTGACATATTATTTCTGCCTTCCCTCTCCTCCTTTATAAAAAATAAATTTTTAAAAGGATGAAGTGATTGTGGAAAGAAAGCAAACGATCATCGTCCGTATCAAAGCATTAAAATAAATTTGTGAAATCGAACCAGTTGTAAAAAAGAGCATTTGAGCACTTTGCTCCAATCACTTTTCGTTAATGGACGCACATGTGTAATGTCACCGTCCGGATCTTGCCGGAATGAGAAATGTAAAAAGACAGGAAGCTTCCAAGTCAGAATCTTACCACAACGAAAAGGAATGAAGACTGCTATCGAAGGCACTCACTTGGTTTCACTAACGCGCTATGTTTCAAAAACCGGTCCTTATTTGTTAAGGAATCACATCGATCATTTGCGGAATTCTTTGCGACAAGAGCGCTAGTTTTAGACTCATGCGGAAGTCTATTTGAGTAGTACCGAGTGATAATGTGATGGAACTTGTGTAACTTCTTTACATTCGGAAGAGCTAATCACTAGTAATAATCTATGTTAGATCAATTAATCAAATTTCGATTGATCTGCATAACTAGTAAGACGTTCCATGTACTTTAAAATGGTTCTTATATACTTCAATTAACTAATTCTACGAGAAATTCGGAATAAATAACTAATCAATTAAATATTTTATTGATTTGCTGCCGCATTTTGTTTCTCAGTAATATTAAAGTACTCTGAAACAGCATCTGAGTAACGCCAAAATGTCAGAATAAAAGGCATAATGATATAGTAATATGAATGTACGTTCAATCAATTTGAACTCCTAATATTATCATTAGAGGATTGCTGCAGTAGTGTTACATGCGCCGAAAACGTGACGAATAATTTTGGGATAAAAGATGATTTTTCAAATTTTTATAAACTTGTTTAAGATATAGAGAGCAATAACGATCCAAGAGGAAATATTAAATTTCTAAGGAATCGTTCACTCAGTGACCTGACCTTTCACTGAGGTCAGTGACAACAGTTCTACTCAGTCTAACAATATTTACCAATCATGTTTAAATCGATAAAACTCTTCAATAGATGACCTCTATTTTATTCATATTCGAACAATAAATACTTCGTCTATAGATTTACATGGATTTTTAATAAGTTTATTAAGCAATAGTAGGAACTATTTAAATCAAAGCATTTAAAAGGTATTTAAATTGAAGTGATGACAAAGTATGTCAAGAGTGTGTCACATAAAGAGCCAAATTATCACTTATATACTTTTATTTTCGCTTATTTATTACCAGAACAATGCTCATATTACAGATCAAAATCATCATCTGTTGGATAACCGCCAGATCGGTAGTAGTTGTATTCAATTAAAGAACACTTTTTTGTCGCTTCAAATATTGATTGCTCGGATGAAATTTCTTTTCTAAATTTCTGAAATGATTTTGATCAATTGATCAAACATCAGATTTTAAAATAATATATCTAATAAAAACATTAAAAAAAAATAATTATAGTAATAAGATAAGATTTATTACTCAATGTAGCATAATTAAAATAGCTATGTACTTAAATGTACTTAAAATAGCCAGAAAATAGCTAAAGCTAAAATTATATTACCGAATAATAGAAAAACGATTAAGAGAAAGCTAGATTGTAGACTGAAAGGTGGTGTCGATATTGCTTGCGATCTTCATGAATAGAAATTTTCACTGTCCGAAAATCAAAAATAGTTCATTTTTAAAAGCACTTAATAATTTAATTCAAAGCTTAAACAATAAATCAGCTGAGCAATCAAAAAATAGCCAATTTATCGCAATGTCTCTGAGTTCGATGACACCTCAACAAGGAAAATGTGACGCTGAATGCCCATATAGAGAAACTGAAATTGTGCAATTGTTTGTACAGCATGCATTCGATACATACGAACTTTGCGTACACACTCAACAATGTTTATTGCTGAAGCTCTCTTATCATGCAGCATTAAATGTGCCCACTGAAATAACACGTCAATGAAATATCAAGTTTATTTTGAAAATTTTGCATAAATCTGTCACTAAAAAATTCGAAACTAATTTAGAAATTTACTTCAAATTTTTTCAATAATCAAAGATTACCAATGCTAATGTTATCTTACTCAACTACTTCGAAATTTGAGTGGTACTCAATTCTTTCATTTGTTAAAAAAAATATGCAAAAATATCGACAGTTCTTATCTTATCAATAAAAGATCTATTCAGTTCATACTTCTAAAGCCGCATAACATCCAGCTCTTCCAGCGCCAGCAAGACTCATGCACACATACGGGCGGCGCATTTTTCTAAATTAAAAAAAAAAAAAAAAAGATTTAATTGTATTTCAAAATGGATAAGCAAAGCTCTATAAAAGGATCTGAATGGTGGTTATCTATAATAAACGATTGAGTAACTCATGCTGTAAACAACGATAGCTTTTTGGATCTGCATGGATTGCGAAAAAAGGAAACAGTTAATTTTCATTGGTAAGTTAGATACTTAATGAGTAAGTATACCTTAGAGATGAATGTAAAGGCCATAAATGTTCGCAGTCTTTTGGTGATCTGTTTGGTTCCCATGCACTGTAGTGATACCATAAAATACGACGTGTTTCATCATTTTTTGACAGATAATACTCACGTACCAACCAATCACGTGTGATATTAACTTCATTTTTATGCGTCAGCACCACAATGTCTTCAATGTGCAAACACTTTCTACAATATTTCAAAGTTTACAAATCCACAATTCAAAACTGAAATTTAAAACAAAAGTTAATAAGACAATGAAATGACTGCTAAGATAATGAGAAATTGCATCTCTGAACCTAACTTTAATTTAATCATTGGAAATAAACCCTTTTCCAGGAATCAACTGGATATTTTCGCCGTGTTGCTTCCATTCATTTAACGTTAAAAACAACAATATTGTTCGAACATTTTCTTGCCAAACCATTTCCCAGAAATGTTTTACCGTATTCGATAACGGCAATTGCGTGATGATAATCTAAACGCTGAACATTTGGAACAATAGGACAAATATACCCGAAATAACTTACAGAATATACCATTTCTTATCTCTGCAAGAGAAAAATATATATCAGAGATTGAACGGTTCTGCTGAACCTCATTGGGATTGTCTCCGAGTGGAACTCGACTTGCGTGTATAAAATCCGAATCCCCGTCCCTAGTTTTGAGCACAACACGTGTCTGGTCAATGCATATTACATCTGAATAAAAATTAGAATTCAAATGGAACAATTTCACATAAATTTTTTTTATAAAATAATATTATTTCACTCAGAACAGCTTTAAGTTCAAAAGTGATGGAATTTGTTGCAACTAAAATTAACTGTTTTATAAAAGTAAGAATCTTGGAAGTAAATTTACAGGATTTAAAATGTTTTTAAATATTCAGCTTTATGATGATGTAGAAAAAAAACCAGACACTCTAGACCAAAATCATGCCTGGAAATCGGCATCTTTTTAAATTCTGATCGTGCGCAATCCGAGTAACGGCATTCGGGATGAAAGTTCGACAGTGGACGAATTCATCTTTCATCTTTTCCATTCCAACTTTCGCAATTCCCTCGATAAACTGAATTATTTTTCTTTTTTGTCGCATTTCTATAATATCAGATGAACTTGTGATGCAAAACTGCATTAGAAGATACTTTAAGAAAGAAAAGATAATAAAGCCTTCTAAATTAGTTTACGCTAAGATTTTTAAAAATACATGAAATACAATTCACTCTTTGATATATACTAATCACAGAATAAATGTTAAATGATACAAAACAATATAAAAATTATAGAACAATTGCATGGTAATTTAAATCATGAAGCTCACGTTGATTGTCATCATCGATCGGCTCACGTTTGACTGGAGACGATTCCTCGCTTGTTTTTGTTCTTGATATCTTAAAGCATGAAATCAAGTTGAGTCACACAAAATGAGAACGACATTTTGCTCTTCCATTTTAGCTCACTCATTATAATCCTAAATTACACTTTCTACTGGGTTCTTTCTCATTTCTTACAAATATCAATGATAACGATTGAATGACAACGAATCCAACTGCAAATTGAAAATTTTGAAGTCAAAAAAAAAATTTCTACGTTGTTAGTAGTTTTTTGAAAATAAACGAATACTGATCATACTTACTACTAAAAAGATAAATATTATTTTGTAAATAACGATGATTAATCGAAAAATTTTAAAGAAATTGTTCTTGTCTTTAATGTTGGAAGATATTTCACTTCTTTATTCTGAACTCATTAATTCATAATCGTATTTTAGCTCAATTTTCAGCTGTCATTGTACTTCTTAGTTTTATTCATTTAGGATACTCGTTGAACTTTCAACACCAAAAAAAGGATACTTTAGACCTTTTTAAATTAAATTTGAAAAGAAGAAATTATTCGGGGAGGGAAAGGATTTTAGTAGATAATTTACTTGGGAATAACGAAACCTTAGCAACTTCGGAGAGAGAACTAAAGTTAGAAATGAAATCAGAGCAAATTTGTAAAACATACAATTTCCTGCGTTTTTTGCTGCATTTGTTCCACCGACGCTAAAAGTAAAATAAAATTTTTTAGAAGTTGAAGTTGGAATTATGACCAATTATTATAGTTGAAATTTTCAAAGAATATTGATATGCTTGTATTTATTCATTCAATGTCGGAATGTTTCTTAACAGAGTTGAAAAACTGATCCAGCAAAAAATTCAAAATTGAAAATACTGTTTTTTTTGGAAGTTCTTTTTCAAAACTTCAATATTCATAAGTGAATACCTAAGTTTTTAACAAAATTTCAAATTTTACATTATTGTGACAAGTCAACTAAACTAACATCATTATTGGTAGTTAAAATTCTATAAATATTAAATAAACATAAAGATGAATATTTCTCTTGCCTTATATAGTTCCTTCTCGATGCTATTTTTGCATTTCTTAAGCTTTAAAATTCTCCCCGGATTGATTTATTATTCGAGAAATTCAATATCATACTTGATTTTGTAACTTTTTCACTCGATTTCTCCTTTTCTTCAATCTTTTCTTCATTTCCCTTTCTTTTCTGATCTACTGCCTCAGGCCAGGTTGAATTTCCTGGTATCGTTGATTGAAGAGGAGGTACCGTCTGTAAAATCTTTTCTTCCAGTGGTGAATTAGCAGAAATCGCGCCTTGTACAGTTGGGTATCCTTCACCGGTCAATGCTTGTTCCCAAACGCGGTGGCGATCTGCAAATATACGTCTGAATATTAAAAATAATTATTACTTCAAGAAACTTGAAGAAAAAAAAACGGCTACGAAGCACTCACGTTTCCCGTGTTTTCGATGCCTTCGGTGTTTTCGGTGATGTTTTTCTTTTGTTTTAAAAAAACCACATAAACTCTTCCAAAATTTGTCACATATCCTTTTGTCATAGCTTAAAATATTAAATGACTTTATAAGTGCCAAAAAAGGTTTATTCGTTTATTCAAATTAATCAAGCAGTACTTAACAGTATACATTAACTACTGAATGCTCCTTTCACTAAGTTCCTGTAATTAATAAAGCGGTCCAAAAATCAGTTCCGTCATGAACCTTAAGCATGCTATGAAAACCGATTTCGGTACTGATAAACGGTAGCACTAGAATTAAGTTGTTCGTAGTGTTGGATTAAGTTATAAATTTTTAGCTTTGTACAACTTAATTTTTGATTGGTGATGTCTGTGTTTCCAGTGCTCATGTTTACTGCGATGAGAATGTCGTTTTTCATGTCTCCGATGTCTCCTCCGGTCCGGTTTCATCAAAAGATCCGGCTGAAGATCCATACCATATCTACTTGCATAATTCCTTTCCGGACAAATATAGGATGATGATTCTCTGCTCCTGTGTGGTTCTCCTTCTGATTCGCTCACATGTCCCGACTGCAACCGCTGTTCTTGTCCATAAACTGATGGTCTGAGAAGTTTGGAGATGCTTAATATTAGCATAAATTAAGACTTTTTTCACAAGCAACCAGACTTTTTACAAGAAATTTCGCAAAATGAGTTTCTTTTAAAGCTTTATTTTGGTTTAATAATATACTTTTATTATATTTTTTAAATATATTTATTATTAAATTAGTTTGATAACATACTTTTTAATATATTAGTACAACAAAATATAATAATATTTAAAGTGGATAGTGCAAAATGACTTGTGATTCCTTACTAGTTCAATTTTTGTTTTCCTACAGATTTTCAATTTATCATTGAATTAAATAAATCAGTCGTCCCTCAAATATTTGCTTACTTGTTCGTGCCATTGAATTCTACGTTCGGATTTCTACTGCTTTGCTTTGATTCCACTGACCTATTATCAAATGTGCTATAACTATTAGCGAAATCATTCGGCTGCATTATTTCTGTATAATTTCGCGGATTATTCTAAAGCATTTCAGTCTGTTATTTACTATTTGGCTTAATACCATTTATAATGATGGATTAATGTTGCTAAATTAAATAATTACTTAATTACAAAATATAAATCAATTTTATTAGACATAGGCTTGACACCAGAATTGCAGCAGATCTCACTGTCTTATTTTAAGTCTTGTGCAATTTACTGTCCACTTACTCTTATTAGTAATCATTCAGAAGTGTTGAGGTAATTGTAATCTTTGGAACCAATAATTAATTAATGTCGTGTGTTTATTGTTTTTCAGATGTTATAGATCCGAGCTTATTTTTGATTAACGCTATGAAACCATTCTTTGAAAATATTAGAGAATAAAAAGTAGAAGTTGCGTGAACTTTGGGCTTTAATGAGTTATGTTTCTAATCTGATATTGCTCCTTGATCCTATGCTCCTCAAATTGCTTCGTTTTTTTAAGGGATTAAAAAAGAGAGCGAGTTGATGTCAATGCTTCCTGCACTTTTACTGTTTTTATTCATCCAATTTTAAGTAACTCTTCTCGGCAAAATTGGGGAAGAACCTTAAGTAATAATGATACATCTCTTTTGATTTTGTTTTGTAATACTAACCTGAGTTGATCTGTCCAGCAGATTTATTGCAGAAGTAAGAGAGAAAGCGACCACTCAGAAGTAATTTCGTTAGTTTTTAATACAATTGCATTTTGCTCCTAATTTTTATTGCGAAGATCATTTAATTCGCATTCATATTTGCATCTGATGCAAAATTTTTATCTTTTCAGTATATTTTCCGCAACCAATTCAGCTTATTCATGATTTGTAATTAGCTACCAACCATCAATAACTAATCTTTCCAATCGTCCATTTCGTTTTGATAGCCATCATCAAATTGATTTTGTATTTTCTGAAAGATTTGGAAGTTGTTAGACAAAAATTTCAGATGAACCGATATTAAGTGAAATGCCAATACACAGGCACGATTTTGTAATTTATAAATTTATACTTTTAGTATTTAGATTAGTAGTTTTTTATTTTTTATCTTCATTTTTTTGAAAGCATTCCAATAAAGCATTTGTCAAAAGACACTACAAGAACCTCATTACCTATATTTCATACTACTGCTGATAGTTAGACGTAAGCAGTCGTTATTAACCTTTTAAATTATTTCATTTCGAGAGCTGCTGATAGAGGTCACTCCTTCTTCTAATTAGACAAGTTTAGACAATTTAGGTCAAGTAACTCTATAGCATCCTACCTATCCAAGTTGCAAGTTGTGATACCAATTGAATAATATACGCTAAAGTTGCCGCTGATTTTAAATTTGCTAGATTCTGTGATGATTTCGTTGGCATTGCTAAATTACTTTTCGTGTATTATATTTAATTCCTTGAGGAAAATTTTTTAATTTTTCGAATGAAAATTTACACAACGTACATTTCAAACAATAAAATACTGTGCTAATGTTTGCCTTTACTTCAGAAATTATTTGAATACATTGAGACTTCAGTGCTTTTTCCATAGCATACATTGAAATTTATACAAATTAATATTGTCGAGGCTGAATTCAAAAGTGAACATTCTAACATTTCAAACAGTTTGGCTGATACCTTGTACAGCATGGAAGGTGTTGCTTGCAAAATGCAAGATATTTGCACTTTAACTGCTCAACATTTATTGATGTGATTCAAGAATTTAATTCATCCTTCTTTCATTTATGGATTATTTTGAGATGGAGCGATTTATGATATTATAATGACATTCCTCCTTGCATTCTATGATAGCATTCATTGTATAGTTATTTTTTGAAAAAATGGTATAAGAAGGGATTGATGATATGATAGTTTGGTAGTGTCATTTTTTCGTCAGTGGAAGGCAGTAAGTGTGGAAGAATCAGTGAATGAGCACGGATCGTTGAATTATTGAGAATATGAAGTTTAGATCAAAAATTTGTTTATTTTATTTCGGAGATTTTCTTTAATTTTATTTTTAAAGATTTTCAAAAATAAATGTACCTATCTTCTTTTATTCAACTATACGCCCATTCTAACCAAGTAATAAGTCTTGAATTTGCGATGAATAATAACTGGGTCTTTTTTCTGCACACACACACACACACAGGTATGCATATACATACAAATATCCATAACATGCATTCACCTGCACATGCATACATTAGCATACAATGAAAAAATTGCCTACCGGATAAAATTCTTCAAATAAATAAAAGTGACACTGAATTCCTAAAATTATACTTTAAATCTATCATTATCGATTTTCACTACCATCGTGGTACTGCTTGTAGGAATCATTTAATACTGGAAAGGAAAGAAAATGGAATGGAATATTTTGGAGACATTGAGTATTTCAAATAAACAAAATTATCGCGAGGAGTAGTATTAGAAAGAAAAGAAATGACCCCATTAGGCTCGAAGCAAGCATAAGATGTCCTTCAAGATGACAAGAATGAGCTACGCAAAGTAAAGTGGAGATGCTTTCTGGCCCTTGAAATGCATTTATCTCTAATGGTTACGAGTTGTAAAGATATTACAAACGCGAACTATTTTATTTCACTTAAAACTTTTCCTATATCACATCATTGTTTTGTCATTGAATTTATTAAAGTATCTCTTAATTTTCTTTGGCTTTCAGAACATAAAAATGAATAACAATTCTTTGTTTCATTTCAAAATTTATGAAATGCAAACAAATGAGCGAACAATGAAACTTGCTTGTTTTCCACTTTCAGCCGACAAAAACAATTATTAGTGGAGGTTGTTGACATGTGTAATTCAAAAAAAAAAAAAAGAAAAAAGCGAAACAGCAGCTGTTTTGAGATATCTGTCGTGTTGAGGAAGTATGAGAGGAAATACGAGAAGTGTTTAGTAATTTCATTTAAAAATTCTTTTTAACATATAAGCAATCTTATCTTCTCCGCTCCGCATTCTTGTATAATTCTGTTGCTTTCATTTTTTAACAGGAAGTACTTCGTTACAAATTTAATGCTTGAGCTATTTTACAGATTTCAGGACAACCTCAAGCTCAATGATTTATACTTTCTATATATCTCAGACAAAGACACTTTTTCTTGTTTTATAGTCAGTGTTTTATGTTTTATGGGCAAGATAAAAAGCTGAGATCAAAAAAGCAGACCATACCTGGAAAAAAATCACGTCTATGTTGCAAACAGCTATTAAAACTGAATTTTATAACCTTTTGAACATATTACTTGACTATGGATTATTTGCATAATATGCTTTTTAGATGAAAAAAAGGAAACTGCTAGCTAATTTTTATATTAAATTAAACCTTAGTTTAATATTAGCAGATTTTTTCTATTCCGATAAGCAAAAAAATTAGGTGCATCTTTGTTTTATTACTGTTGAGCCCGTAACTGCTGAAATAATATAAATGCGAGGTGTTTTTGAAGGACAAATTTGGCTCTTTAAAATTTATATTCTCTGACAATTGATATGTCTGTAATTTTTTGCAGCGAACATTTAGATCTTCATTCATGTTCATTTACTCCATTTTCCGACTTTGGGATCAATTTAATTTAATTTATTATCCATACAAATTTGATCATTTTTTGAATTTAAATGAACATAGACATTCCTTTTCACATGTTTCATTTATTTCACTGTCATAAGATTTAACTTGAAGCTTCCAAAAAGACAAACTTTCTCAAATTATTAACTTTTAATTTCTTTAAATTTCCACTTCAAAAAATTTCCTCTATTCTTAAGCCTAAAATGATAAACAGATAATATATATCACTCCAATATTTGGAGTGATACTCTGCTACTAAGCATAGATTCTCGTTCACATGGTAACAAAATTTAAATCTTTTAATGATAGTGCGACATATTCGTGTATCTTTTCTATGAAATCGTTCCACAATTACAAAACAATTTGCAACATTGAGTTCCTTTTTCCCTCGACTGATAATAATGACAATCATAGCAAACGAACAGTTTCCTCAAAGGATATAGCCTTGTCAGAATTTAACAGCTGCTCTGCAAATTCACTTTATTCTTTACTTTTATAAATTCAAAGTATAGACTAGCTTTACTAGCAAAAAATTTAATTTAAAACTTAATCCACTTTAACATAAATACATTTACGGACTGCTTCATATATAAATGCATTTTACGGAATGTTCCCCACGCATTGTTACAAGAAAATTGCAATTGCATCCTTTCAAGTAAATTCAACATTTATATGAAGCGATGCTGTTAGCATAAGGACAAGCAGATAAATTGAATTATTTTCAACGAGTAAAATTCTGTCATTATCTTAGTTTCTCACATATAATAATAGTATCTATCTTTTTTTTTTTTTTTTTTTTTTTTTTTTTTGTACATTGAGCACAAAATTAGATGACATTTATTGCGCATAGAGTGAACAGATAAATAGCAATTTATGAAATGCTATAATTTATGCATAGCTTTTCAATTCACAGTATTCATTTTTAACATTGCCATCATGAACTAACTTATTTATCATATCATGTAAATGGACTAACTTTTCAATTTCTAATCCAGGTCATATAGCATCTGGTTTAATAGAAAAGATATTAGTAAATTCTTTGTAGAAAGGATAAACTAGGAAAGAAGTATAACAGAAAGTATTCATTGAATTTGTTTACATTTGAAATAATTCAATTGATGTCAAAATTTTCTTGTGGTTCCCAATGATCAAAGATGTGTGAAAAGCGCAAATCAAGAAGACACCATTTTGAAAGCGATATTGCGCATCTTTTGCATTACTTTTTTAAATCACGTGCTTCTCTCCTGCATCACTTTACATCATCTCCCGTCATTAACAAATCCTTTTCATTTGTGTCTAGTGTTTACAATATGTAGTATACAATTTGATCAACAAAACCACTCATAGTTTCATTTCTTCTGACTTTATACGTGGCATGGACAAAAAAGCTAAGAATTAAAAATCATAGGAGAAAAAAAAATTAAAATTTATGAAAACGTTAG